CTGTCAGCACGCCCCACACCCCGCCCCGCCTCCTCTACACCACTTGGGGGAAGGGGCCTCTGTCAGCACAGCCCCAGTTAATGAGACAGGGACCCACCGTCCCTGTCAGATCTCTGCTGAGGGACAGGTGGAGCCAGCACCGGGGACACACAGGTCATCCCACCAGGGGCATCTTGGGGCCAAAGGACTGACCACCTGGGGGGCTGGGCAGACACACCTGTGCCCCCAGGCAACATGACTCCCAGAGCTAACTTCTCTGGGCTCCCCCAGAGCAGCAGCGCCCCAACCACAGCGCAGCTCCCTGCCCAATCCCCCCTCAGCCTCCCACCTAAGTTGGTTCAGAAACAGGTTTGCCCCCAACCCCTAGAACCCCACCACCGATGAGTTGAGCTCAAATGGTGGGGGGGGGACACACCTTGGAACCTCCTGCCGGTTCCTCCACTGTCACCTCCCCACACACCTGTGCACTCACGCCCTCCTGCCCCCCTACCTGTGCACTTGCACCCACATATGCCACCCAGCCAGGCTCATGAGCCCCAGGGGTCCCCAGCAAACCTTGAGGCTGAGCGACCAAGCTCAGAACCCCAAACCCAAGGTCAACCTCCCACCCCCAGCCCAGCCCCCAGCCGGGCACTCACCACCAGGATGCCCGCGAAGGCCCGCATGTTCTTTATCAGGTCCAGCAGCGTGTTAGCCACAACCGCCATCATCTGAGGACAGGGGTGGTCCTGAAGACGCCTGCCCCCCTCAGGCCCAACCCCCACCCCAGACTTCCAGAAGAGTAGAAGACCCGAATGTCCCCATGCGGGGAGTGTGGGGGGCCGGCCGGATGACTCCTTGGTCCACCCACGACCCCGCCCTCCAGACCCTCTGAGAGGCTAGAGAAGGCCACACGTTCTTGACTTCTTGGCTGGACAGCCCAGGACCCCCTCCAGGGACAGCCCTCCGCCGCCCCCCCCCAGACAAGACCAGACGGGGCTCCAGGACCTGATGGTATAGCCACTTCCACACTCAGGTACAGCACACATCTTACACACACCCACGTATTCATCACACACCTACACACACTTCCCCATCATGTCCACCACACACCTCTATACACACCCACACACAGGCAGACGCCACTTCCACGTCACGTACAACACACCCATACACATACCCGTGAATTCACCACACACCTGGACACACGCCTGTGGGCACACACGTGTGTGCACCTACACTAGTATATATATACACATACACCACAGAGCTTCAAAAGGCTCAGGGCAAAATTCTGTTCTCTTTCTTTAAAGCCTATTAGCTTCTCATTCATTTTCTCTGTGAACTTTCTGGAAGACCCCTCCCTCGGACACCTGCATGCACATCGCACACACCTGCATGCACCCCGTACAGCCAGACACATCACACACAGCCGTGTACTCACCCACACATACACTTCTACACACACCGCACCCTCACACACCTGTATATCCCCGTATGCACCTGCACACACCTGCACTCACACCGACACATCACACACA